CCCCAAAACCCCAAAACCCCAAAACCCCTTGAGAGCATCTTTAGTTTGAATATTCAGTTGTTAAAATTAAATTATTAACATATTTTAATTTAAGTAAGCAATAATGGATAGGGCGTTACCTGAGTATAATAGAGTCCTGCATAAAAAGTGGTTGGCTCAAAATAAAAGAGTATATAAACAGAGGATAGGAGAGACTAGACCTATTGTTGATAACAACTTGCCTACTTCATGTTGATACCCAATAATCAAAACAAAGAAAGAATAATTATTAGAAGGTTAGTATTTTAGATTAATTGACTTAATTTATTAAATTTGCTAAATTAGAGAGATGCACTGAAATTGAAAAAGCTAACAGAATATTGCTAGAAAAAATGACAAATATTATGACAAGTTAAGTTAATGGCATTACTCAAGTCAAGAAAATAGGAAATAACAATATCTCTGTTGGGCTATCTTAAGAATTAAATATAAGTACATAAAGTGCTCGATCTAAATCATTAAATCGAGGAATTAGATAGAAAGAATTCTAGAGAATAACAAATGAGAATGAATAGTTATTAAGGAGACTTTAAGATAGACAATCTTTCTACAATGTTTTCTAATGGGAGATTGATCGCAAAAAGCAAGAATAAATTCTAAAGAAATTATGCTATTACCCTCCTAATTTCTTTAGAAAATCAAAAAATAAAAGCAAACGACTAGGTTTATCATTACTTGGTGCTGATCCTAACCAAGAAATATTTTAATATTACTAGACTAATTTCAAGCAAAGTATGCCTATGCTAGAGCCAATTGATGATTCAGAGGAAAAAATAGATGAAGAAAACAAGCTAACTCAGAGCAATAATATTCTACCATAATTAGGAGGAGAAAGAAAAAGTTCAGCAAATGTAAAAGAAATAAGTGACGCTAATAGATCTTATGTAGATATGAATGGAGAAAAAATCACACAGATTCCTTATTCAGCCCAACCTTAAAAGCAAGACTATCGCTAGTCATTTTCAAGAGATGATAATGGAAATCTTAAAATAGCTAATATATCCAATAATGGATTTAATAGGCAGATGATTCAGACTCAAGGCAATTAAATGTAAAAGAACCTTTCCTTTTCTGTAGTAAACAACAAGAAAAATTTCACTTCTTAGCCTAGAAATGATTTGAATCAGAGTCCCACAACCTAAAATGCTAATAAATCTTTTAATCTTGTAGCTAGAAAGAGACCTCCTCCTTTAAATATTGGTTATAATGAGATGGGCATTGATTAATTTAGATAAGTTCTCTATAGAAATTTTCATTAAGTCGATTAGCAGATTTACCTAGTTGAAATTTCAAGAAACGCTAGAAAAGTGTTCATCCTAATATTCCCTAACTTTGAATAGCCTGATGTATATCAGTATTGTGTTCTAGCTGAAAAGTAAGCTTAGAGATTAATGAGTGAAAGTAATAACATGTTTGAAGAGTTTGTAAAAAGATTCTATCTAAGATATGGAAAACTTTAAATAGATGGTTTCCATACAAAACCAGCTAACCCCAATAGCTCTAAAATATTAAGAGATGACAGTAGATAGATAAAAAGTGTAAGTCCAATAAGAAATAGAGGTTCTTCTTAATAAAGTATTTTTAATGTAAATCCAAGGGTGAAGAACGCTTATGGATTTATGCCTCTAGACTAAGATTAGCAGAGATCATCATAATATGAAAAATAAGATTTAGATAATGATAATATGTCTATCAAAATACAAAATGCACAAGATTATTAGGAAAGTTAAAGTTTCATTCAAAAATAAGATCTAAGCTTTGAGACTCGATAGAATCATGAAGAAAATCAAGCAGATGGTTTGGAAAATCGAGCCTAAAGCAAACTTTAATTTCTAAGTACATTTAATAAATAGAGTAATTATGCTAATCATAAAGCCAATCAAAGTTAGGAGAATGAGGAAGATTATGAAAATGAGAACTAATAAGAAAATGAAGTAATTTAAAGAAACTTATAAAACATGCATCCTAATCATAATGAAGATTAAGATGGTGTGACGCACTCGTATTAAATTGAAGACACAAAGTCCTCTCTCATGGTACGAAAGAAAAGAATTAATACCTTAGTTGAGGACTAGAAATCTTAAATATCTAGATCAAGTTCTAATTCCAAACAGCAATTCAATAGATATGATGGCGATTCAAAAGATCGTTCTGTTTCAGTTCTGCAAAATAGCAAGCAAACATACGTTATACCACTAGATGATAATGAAAACTACTAGCAAGATTTCGAATGAATTGATAGTTAATATAATATAAATATTCAATTAATTTGTATTTAATTTATAATTTAAAATTTTGGTAAAACATTCATTTTGGGGTTATGGGGTTTTGGGGTTTTGGGGTTTTGGGGTTTTGGGGTTT